TAAATATTGTTTTTAAGGAATCCAATAAGAAATGAACGTACTACATTAATAACTTTTATTTTTTTACATCAATATGAGAATATTCAGATGTTCTTTCCCTGTATGAAGATTTTCATCAACGATTTATTAAAACCTAAATAAATACAATGTTATACATTGAAATTACAATTAGTGGTTTTGTATTTTATTATTTTATCATCATTTTACTATACAAATAAGAATAAATTTGAAATTTGTCTTATAATATCATCTAATTTAAAATCTAATTTACAAGTATAACAAAAGGTAATACATTGCATAATTTACAGTGTAAATAAAGTAATAAATAAAATATAAGATAATAATAGACGTGATTCAAAAAACAAGGGTATGACCCTCACAAATAAATAAATCTAATATATAAAAGTTAGTGTTGATAGAAATATAGAATTTAGTAACATAAATTTGCAATCATATTTTAATAAAATTAGGAAAATAAATAAAAAAAATTCATATTTGCAATGTGAGATAATTGATAAAACAACTTGAAATAAATTCTAAAGTGGTATGAGCTAGTGTTATTTTTCTCTCTTAAAATATCTCATAAACTATTTTTTTTTTTTAATATTCAATAAACCAATATTAATATTATTTTTTTCTTTTTCTAATATCCTATGAGCTAGTACTAATTGTTTTAAGAAAAAATCTTATTAACAACTATAAGAAAAAAAATAAATAAATCACTAAGTACTTAGAAATTCAAAATCTTTTTTTCTTTATTTTTTATTTTTTATAATATTGATAGATTGTATAGTGGAACACAATATTTTAGATCTTTTTTTATTCTTCAAAAGAAAATATTTTAGATAAAAAACTACTCCATAAGTATGCTTTTTTACCTAAGGATTAAATGTACATTGTGATCCTGCAGAACTATAGTACATGCCCTTTTTGTTATGTCCCTACAAACCTATTATCACTTGAGTTATGCGCACTCCTCTCGCAAGGAAGCAAAGCCATCCCACATCGAAAATTTACGATTTGACCAAGTACATATAAAAGCCATCGAATTGGTTGTTGCAAATAGCACACGCATGAGGTGGAGAATTGTGTGCTTTTAAGTTATCCAAGATGGGTTGTTGAGCTGGCAGGAGAGGTTTGGTTTTTGTGTCGTTGAGCTGGTGGGTGGGTGAGAATTTGAAAATTGCGCATTTGACACGTGGCGATGTAGTCCAAAACGGGATTATGTGATGTCATGAAACGATCTGTGACATCATCAAGCTAGAAAACCAGGATCTGTGATGTCATGGAACGATCCGTGACGTCATCAAGTTAGAAAAATGGCCGGATCCTGTTTTATTAGTGGTTCCGGAACGGTATCACCAATACCCGATCCGGATCGCCCGATTCCGGATAGGATCGGCAATTTTTAAAACACTGGTAAAGAGCATGGGTATTTTAATAAAAAAAAGAAATTGGAGTGAATTAAAAGATGGTAAAAGTATTTAAATCCATACCATACATCTTGATGACATGATGGTGGATGGTGGGCTACGATCATGCCTCTCTTTGTAGCCATTGGTAGATGACATGGAGGGCTAAGATTCATCCATCTAGAAGCATCTCCATACTTGAAGGTTAAAAGCTTATAAAAACCCCTTTGATCCTTCATTTTTCACACATGAGTTCACTTCACAAATTTCCCTCCAAAAGTGGCACGCACCTCTCTCTCGCTTCTTCCATGAAGTGGAACGCCCAAGCTAGTCTTCTTCTTCCTTTCTTTCTCGAAGATCCTCTTTTATGTTAAGGTGAGAGAAGAATTCTATTATAGGTCTTATACTATACCATTAATGGTGATCCAAAGCTCAAATTCAAGTCATGGATGATCTAGTCTTCAAGCCTTCAACAATTGAGTAAGATCATTTCCATTTCCATTGATTCCTTTAGTTTCTGCTTGCTGTAAATTCTCATTTATAACAACATTTTTTCGTACTTTGACGATTAGATCTTTGATCCTTTGAATGATCATTGATTTGTCCTGATCCATATAGTTAAAGGCTTCATCCATGTACATTTTGACATAGTTTTTCATGAGCTTTCTTCCTTGAATTTTGGAGTAATTTTGGCTGATATTTCTCTGATTTTTTCTTGATTTCATTACTCAAATAGATATTCTTCTTAACCTCTTGAATTGTTGATTTCACAAGAGGAGACAATGCTGAAATTTTGTGGGCCGAATTATGAACTCAATTGAACCATTTTTGTGTTTTAAGAACCCCGATTTCTCTCATGATTTTCCCACTTGATTTGATTTTTAGATCTCTGCGAATCCTCCTATGTTTTAAGTGTGTATCAGTAGCTTGACTTTCCCACTTATTAGGTGATGAATTAGCCCGATTTTGAGATATGTCATTACATGTCATCCAATGGCACATAGCTAAGACCCAAGGCCGTAAATTGGGTACTTGAGAGCTTTGATTGGCTTCCCATGGTCATGTTGCATTGCACACTTGAGCATATAAATGTTGATGTAATGGAGATCATGTTGTGATGAGTTTTATTAAATCCATTGATGTATAATTTCGTTTTGTAAATTTGAGTGGTGCTGAATTTTCAAAAGCACACTATGCATGTATGGTTTGATGTTCTCCTTTTGTAACTTGTTTTGCTCATGTGCAAGGTACCCTAATTGAGTTGTATCCTCTCATTTGAGTGTATTTGGAAGTCAATAGCTCACTGTAGTTACCATGACCTTGGTGCAACTGTGTGGCACTATAGACCACCAGATTTTCTTTCCTCTTTTTTATTACATGATCTGGCGCAATTGCCCTACCATAGGGTTGTATCTTAATTGTTTTTCTTTGCTCTTTTATTAATAAAAAATAGGTAGGGGGCCTTCTCCCCCACTGACTTACCCAAAAAAAAGTTACAATGACCTTGCTGTAATTTGTTTTTTCGAGTGTAAGTGCAAGTGTATTGTAAAATTCAAGGTGTATTGGCTTGTATTTTAGCTACTTTGTAGTCCATGTCAAGTGCATTGGTTTTTATACACTCACGAATATCATGTGAGAAAGTGGCACATAAATTTTGTCCAATATGAGCTTCATACGTAAGAAATTAATTTAACAGTCCTGCATCAATCTTGTCTTCTTTTACCTGGCTAGCTTAATCACAGGGGCATCTTTTCATTCAACCCCATAATTTATGATAAATAAGACTATTGAGCTGATATTAATGATGTTTCTGGTTCTAACTTACCATGTAAACTGGTATGGTACTTCTGCACATGTGACTTCTATACTTATGCCGATTTGGAAAACTAATGTCATTAATTGGGAGTTCAAATTTTAGCAAAGTGTTCATCATGTATGACAACAATATGGCTAAATGCTTCCAGTGAATGTCCCACTTGTACCTTAAACACGAAAACAAAAACCGATTTTTTCTTTTTTGACTTCTTGGAAGGTGGTAATCAACATTTAAAGGGATAAGTGGTAAAATTAGCATTTGGAAGTTATGAATGGCCCTTTGTCTGGGAAAGAACCCTCTAAATAGTCATGGATTGGTGGTGGTGCAGCTAGTTTTGGCTAGCTCTGACAAGCATGTGGCAGCTTTCTTAGTTTCTGAGGAGTTGGTTTCTGTTGAATAGGTTCCAAAGATAGGTGAATATGTATCTAAGTAGTAGAACAGTTTATTGAAATCTTGTTGGAATGTCAAAATTTAGCCCATGATGCTGGTCATTACAACAATTTTTTCTTGGGCATGAAGTGACTGACTTGCGTTGAATCATAAAGAATATCTGACATTTTTGTTTTGGGTGAATAAGACTATCTAATAGGTGATCCTTTACAAGCTTCACTTTGGTGCAGAACAGCTTATATTATATGAAGAGATATTCGTAGGATGGGATAGTCAGAGTTTGCTTCAATTGGTGGAGGCCTAGTATAGAAATTGTTCTCTGTGAGATGAACTTGGCAGGAGGTTCTCTTCGTGAATAGGTTGAGGAAACCTATGATGCCATTGGTAACTCTTCGTCTTACTCATTTCTGTCGAGGTATAGAAGGGGATGGCCAAGACTCTGAGCTCTTAGGGCCTGAGTATTCATGGGGTGGTGTCAGGTTTATAGACTTGAATGGGTCCGCTTGACTTGCAACGCTTTGGAGCAATACATATTAATTTCTGTCTACTTTTAGAAAGGGCTAGGTAAGTATAGCTAGCAAGTACACATACAAATACCTTTTTCATCATATTTAGGCCGAGTCTCTATGAGTTGTATTCTTTAATCTATTTGTTTATGTAAAGAGATTTTTTATTTGCCTGTGTGCTTCCACAGTTTTAACTCAGCTAGGGGACTTGGGCCTTGCCTGAGTTGAATCGCCTCAGACCCACTGAATTCACTGAGTCTCATAAAGACCCAGCCATTTGTTTGAGACTTGGCTGAGTTTGAGTTAACTACAATTAGGATAATGCTGAGTCGTGATCTGTGTCCATCTTTTTAATCTTAGTGAAGGCTGATAATGATCTTTTCTTGCTTACTCTAATCTGATGAGGTCTTTCTGAGTTTTGATGTGCATTTCTTTTCTTATATTATGTAATATTATATCAATCAATGTTGTATTCCCTTCTGCTTCATTTGGTGTCTCCCAAAAGAGATCTGAGAATATCTAACTTTTATATTTGATATCAGTAGTATTTTCTGAAATTTAACCAAGTTTTAATTTGGGCAACTGTTCTGTTATGCAAATTAATCTATCCAAAGTTAAGTGTAATGAATGATCTTATGGATAATGATACGGATTGAGTTTGAAAAGTTAGGCAACTATAAGTGTGTGTGGCTGTATATATTTATTTATCCTTGAAGTAATTTCTCATACTTGATTACTAACTGTCATTAAGGAATTTCATTACATGTTCATCTCTTTTTATAAGTCTTTGGTTATTCTAGTAAAAAGTTCAAGCGCTTGATTTTATTAGTTGTTTTTAATAATTGCATCAATATGACACCCATTTAAATTTTACAGATTGGTCTCTCTTCATCAACAATTGCTTCCAGTTTTGGAAAGACGATTTCTGAAAATAAGGATCTCTTAGACTACAAGCCAGAAGATATTGCTTTGTCCCTCCTGAGGATGGTTTCCTACAACATAGCGCAGGTGATTTCTTTTGTTTGCATAGTTTGTAGTGATACAGTTTCATAGCAACCAATTATCAGAAGAGTAGATATATATAGTACTTCAGCCATTTGTGCTCATGCGTGTTTATAAATAAGGGGAATCCGTACACCCTATTTTGGTGTACCATTTCCTCATAGACCCAAGTTTTAAAAATTTTCTGGCGGCATAGGTTTTCTAAAAAATATATCTTTTAACCCCCTGGACCCAATTTACCCCTTTTGACTGCTCGTTTTTTGCCCAAACAAAAACTAAAAAGACACCACTATCTGTCTACTAAAGCTCTCTCTCTCTACGCAATATCTTTATATATCTCTCTCTCTAACGTCTCACTCTCTCTATATAACGTCTTTATTGCTCGTAACAGCTTGGATCAACCTGGTTCAAAAGAGGCCTCCTCCCTTCTTTAACATAAGCATCAATGACTACCTTTATGCGATCCTCCACTATATTTTCATGCGATATAACAACATGAACAGGGTCAAGACTCCTCTGCACTGTAACATTAAGGAGCAGCTTCTTTAGCCTGCCGAAAACATTTTCCTACGAACTAGGAAAGAGGTGTTGGTGCTTTCCAGAGATCAATTTGCCATGGCCTGCCAACTCAAGGTGAGATTCTGGCCTGCGAATGGCTTTAGAAGACCCCATAATCCAGCCATGAAAGGCGACCGATTTCCTCTGGTCTTTGCTGGAAGCTCGTAGGGAAATTGAAGAACCAGTCATGGCGTTTGAACTTTCAGAAAAAAGGAGTCCGTAGGCGACGGAATCTGTGAAGCCAGAGATGAAGAGAAGGGAAATTCAAGGTTAGGGTTTCGTTGAGGGTTACGGTTTTCCCATGAAACCCTAGTAATGTTTTGTTGAAAATTGGCATCTGAGAGAAGAGAGAGAAACAAAGGGGGAGTGAAAGAGATAGAGAGAGAGGTGTTATAGAGAGAGTGAGATTTAGTAGATAGATAGAGGTGTCATTTTAGTTTATGTTTGGGCAAAAAACAAGTAGCCAAAAGGAGTAAATTGGGTCTAGGGGGTTAGAAGATATACTTTTTAGAAAATCTATGCTGCCAAAAAAATTTTAAAACCCTGGGTCTATAGAGAAATGATACACCAAAATAGGGTGTATGGAGATATTTTCCTTATAAATAAAATGCTTAGCTACTACTTTTTCGTCATACAATTATGATTGTAGAGGGATATGTTTATCATGCACATGAAACAATTGCTTAATCTCTTTTTAGCAACAAAACATGAACAATTATTTCTGTGGAGAGGGAGGGTCTTCAATTGCAATCTTCCCAATAAGTAAGGATATGATCAGAAGAAGGAATTTAGATTTGATTTATTCAGTCATAGAAGTATAGTGATTTCACCAACATGATCAATGCATTCGTCATTTTTTAATCTACACAATTATTATAAGAGTAGGGTATATCTCATGCGGTATGTGTGTTGCCCAATGCTCTGTGGTGTTGACATGGCATATAAAAGAAATGAAATAAAAAGATAATAGCTAAAAAAAGAAGGCCGACCCCAATTAGTTGGAAAAAAGCTTTGACAATTATGATGACGTAGGAAGAGAAGTTTTTTTTTTATGAGATTTACCGAGGAGAAAATCAAGATAAAATTAACTAGTCTTTCCAAAAATTTTCCTTTTCTATGCTCCAACTAAAACCTACGTAATACCCACTTCGCTCGGGGTTTCCAAATTCATTAGTTTTCTAGATATTTTCCTATCTATAAGGGCCAATGATCTCCTTACCCATACCACTTCATGTGCTTGGAATTTTAGAATGGATGCCTGACACAAATCTCTAATTTTAGTTCCCCCCTCTTCCTCACTCCGAGGCTTCCCAAATTCAGTTAGCTTTTTAATACCATTCTCTCTCTCTCTCTCTCTCTCTCTCTCTCTCTCTCTCTCTCTCTCTCTCTCTCTCGTCT